CCATATGTCTATCTATCTGTTTTTCGAAATCATTGCGTGTACAAAGTGACCGGTGGATCAGCGAACATGTGAAACCAGCGATTTCCGTTTTATTGAATCCAGAATAATTTAAACCGAGAATATCATCCGAATTCTACCGGTATCAACGAATACAACAGAGATTTGCTCTCTCGGATTCCTCATTGGTCCACCAGTTTCCAACTTTTTTTCACATCAGGTATTCTGCTATTTAGGATATGATCCCTTTGAAATGATACCTGCAAAATAGTCGCGTTGGTCTTTGTATAAATCGATACCCTAATACGTAATACTAAGAATGTTGCTGTGAGTAACGAGCCAGATGACGAGCAAAAGATCATGAGATTTACAATGAAACACTACAGTCTTAGTGATAACGTTCCACTGACAATCATAGATGTTTTAATGACGTAATGAAAACACAATAGCTAATTATTTGTTTATGTAAGAGATTTTCGTAGTCAGACTGAACTAACCATGAAGGCTTTGAATTGGCTGTGGCCAGTGGACCGGTTACCGAGTGCTTTCAACAAGTACACGAAAATGCAACTGAACTCGATCAACTGGAGCGTCATTTATAGAGATCGTTCGTTGAGCAACTGATCCGGACAATTACTTTACTTCATGAATGCGTATCCGGCCCCAGTTTAGTTCGTTCTTATAAGTGCACGCAACCCAGTTCACTAATTTCATTCTCGCCTACGAAAATAATGCGATTTGTTACTACGGGATACTTGTGATTTGGTAAAAATAAACAAGTTCAGTTCCGTCATGGTAGTATTATCAAAATAGAAAAACCGACGTTTCTTCTCTACGTTTGTGCACATCATTGTTTATCCACCGTGTTCAACACAAAAGGCGTGGTTTACCGCATCCGAAATCTTCCCCAGTGAAGCATTGTTGTGTATATATCGCCGCTATGTCACGCAAAGCTTTGTTGAGACCAGATGTTTTTATGCAATCAATATGACAACATTTTGTGCGTTCGATCCTTCTCACGTTGATGTCAATCTGAAGTAGTGTTGTGATAATCAATCCTATACAATTGACAGGAAAAATTTTCTTTGAAACATGACATTGGCCTCCAGATGCTGGTGGTTCTTCAGCGATGTGAATTTTTATTTATTTATTCTTATATTTGTATTCAGGACATGAATCTCACCAGAATCTAGTCTTTTGCTTGTTAAGCAGTTTTTCTAAGAAGATACAAATGCGGTCTGCCACTTGATTCACAAAAGTCAGTCTGTTAAAGAATACGCGCGAGCTGTGTTTAGAAGAAATGATATAGTGCTGTGTGACAAGAATTGCGCATTCGCGTTTAGCTAAGGTATTTCAAAAAGCATCCGTTTGCAACAACCTCGTTCAAAACGTTGAGTGTCAGTTTCATTAGGGTTAATAATTTGCCTAAAAGTAAGAGAAAAATAACGAAAATTTCACAAGGCTAGACATTTTAAAACTTATCTCTCGCATTGTGATCCCAAAACCCATCAGTTCATTGGAGTACTGCTATGTTCATCACTGTGTATTTATCACATTGCAACGGAGTTGTTTTATCTAGGTTCATCGAATCCATTGAGACTAGAACTTGGAAGAATGAACAACTGTCCTATTCGAAGCTGCATTCTGCACATTGCTACACGTAATCATTCCACTTTAGAACACCCATTCTCTTCTATGGTGTCCGGGTTAGAATCCCAACGGATTCTTTGGATCCGCGCGCGACCGACAGTTCCGAAAAACGATGAAACCGCTTTATAAGGCTTCCGAATCATTCTACCAGTCAATGACACCGGGACGATGTACATTCTGAAACCAGGAAAATTTCCAAATCGGTTCAGTAAAAAAAATATTCGTTGAGCTCTGTGTGCGGTTTGTTTTGTGTCATAACGTTTTTCCTTAAATCACAGTTTGCTAGTGCCCCTTGTTTTGGAATGCATGCAAACGCACTCAAATGATGTTTTTATGATTAATTCTCCTAGGTAGGTTTCGTACATATTCTTAACTATCACATTCAATTGATAAGTATATCTAATCTTGATCTTTTTTCAGACCCGATTTACAGAAACCAGGCAAACAATAAGGAATTAGGAACTCACGAGGATCCCAGGTACGCATAGGACTGGATACGGCGCGGTCTCCGGAGCCAGACGGAGCGACAGCTCGAAGATGTATCACATAGTAAGTGCCCGGCTGCAGTTGAGGGATTCGAGCCGTGTAAAACTCAGCGGTTGTTCCATCTGGTTGCACAGGAACCAGGCGTCGACTGAACCCGTTGGATTCGGGCAGTAACGGATTGGTAGGGCCTACTTGATTGGACCACGTGGAAGAAGATTGATCGAGACGTATCCAACCACCCTGAAAATAGGAAGAAATTGTCAGTGATAGAATAAGATGACGAAACTAAATTCAAAAATTACTTCCTCATTTGAATCATCATTCGTTAAAATGAATGAAGTCAGTGGAACATTGCGTACCGAAATCCTATTCTCCGAATGTGGCCGTCAGCTTGTGTTCCAGTAAGATGAGCGTACTATGCATGCTAGTGCGCTAGCATGATCAGAAAACTGAGAGCAATTGAGGTTATGGATTGAAACGAATGAAGCTTGCCATACATTGTTTGTGTCGCAACCTCGACCCATTTTTAGTTAGATGTCTTCGTACAACCTTACGGAGCGTGGAACTCTAGCCCATCCGGATGTTAAAAACAGGAGCACACTGCCAATTTCGATCAACGGTAGTAACATTCGACAACCTGGGTGTAATATATCGCACGTACGACCGTTTCTGAAGAAGATTTTGAGGAGCAGTGCAATAGGTGTGATAAAGTAGTTAACGTAGGCGTTAGCTAAATATTTAAAAGAAATCATCAAATCAGCAGCTTCGGAAGAGATTTAGGGCTCAAGACAATGTCCCTCCTGAATGAATCTGAAAAGGTCGGCAGTAACGTGTACAATGTTTCACTCATGGCCACTTAGTTGGGCGAAGCTAAATCGGTGGTCTAAGGCTCCTAGAAGCTTGAATGAAAAAGGTTTCAATATTGCAAAATAAACAGAGCGAATATGTAAAAATGTGTGTGGCCCAGTCTATGCCTACTTTTTAAAATGTTTACCGCTATTCTACACTCGAGTGGGACTAATTAACTTTATATTGTCCAAATCGATAATACTGGTCATCAATTTGGTAATAGTTGATTCAAATACCTCAGCAATATCCTCAGAAAGACTGGCTATCCATAGCATCTGATTGAGAAGTAATCTAAGCCTCATATATACACCACTAGCCTGATGTAGATATCAGTTTAAGATTCCTTTAAGTGCTACTTCTTAAAGCTGATTTAGTTTCCACATGCAATGAATGACATTTAGTCGTGTCAATCAATAAGATCATTTACACAGTCAAACGGACTATCACGGAAAAGATAGAATGTGTTTCCTTGGCAGCCAGTAAAAATTACTATCCGATTTTGCTAAATCTGATGTCACATAGGGATTTATCGTCCTTGTGATTGCAAGGTGTGCCGACAGAATCAACAGTGACCAAAGTATTCAAATCGCTGGAAGACTGGATAAACAGAGTCACTGAAATCAGGCGCAGAGAGTAAGAATGTGAGAAACAAGAAGGGAGACAAGATGGTATCCAGACACTCCGCCCAAGTCAGAACTGAGGAATGAGGAATGCGGGTTACTTTTGTGGATAAGCTGTTCTCAAAGTGAAGAGTAGTCTTTGAGGAGAGCAATAGTAGGCTGAGGAACACCACGGTTTGGCGAACATCAAAGGAGTAATTTATGAACACATTCTCCTGTACCGTTGTTATACTTCCATAAGTTCGGTTCTGGTTCAAAAGTACGTGTTTATTACCAACCGGGGTTAGGGTATGGATGATCTCATTTAGAACACGCCATCACAATTCCCAGCAGTAGGAAGGATAATAAATGTTACAGACCGTAGTTATCAGTTCGAACACAACAATTCGCTTTAATAGGTCTTTTTTCATTTTTGAGCGTTGAAACAAAATCCACCAACCGCATCTTTTTACGTACTACTTACAAATGTAAGCAACACTTCAAAACACCATGTGTTAGAGACCAACTCCTATAGGTTACATTTACTTTCAAGAGATTAGTGAACAAACGCATTCAGAATGGAACATTTAGGAGAAGGTTATCGTAAAAATGTGAAGGAGATAACTATGAATATCGTACACACTGCTCTTCCTCACGTTTTGATATTTTCCGCTATTCTGTCAACATAAACTTCAAACTGAATTTTTCTCGTATGTGGATGTCGCTAAACGAAGTAGCTGTTCGTAACATTTTCACTTCTACTGATCTACTTGTTCGCATCCACATAAATGTACAGGTCATGTTTTCCAGGAAAACGTTCAAAGACAAAATAAGAATTCTCACCCTTGAAGTTTAACCGAATCGATGTTGAGTAGTATTGATCGAAAAAATACTTCCCACACGGTGGCTGAACGAAGAACAAATAAGTTACATATTTATTTTCCGTCTCGCTTTATTGAAACGTGCCCCTGCATCGCTAATCTGTTTCCGTAGACGGAGTCACTCTAACTTCAAGCTCTATGCTGTGCTAATCTGCAAACCGTGCTTGTGCTCGCCTATCTATTTGTCTGTCTTTGTCTGTCTCTCTCTATCTGTGTGACATTAGCAATAGGGAAGATCATGTTTACGCCTCACGTCTACCTCCGAAATGGGCATTCCGACCCAGAAGCAACGAGCAATCACCGGAACCCATCACAATTTTCATTTGTTTGAACACAGAGATATGATAAGAGAACCGATTTTTCCATAGGACATAAATGAGTCAAATGAATGTCATTGTTACGGGTTGTTTGAAGACGAAATCTTGATTTTGGTAAAGCTACATAGCAAACTCATGTGATGGTCTTTGTTCGCGTAGGGCTGTTGAATGCCACTTACTCCAGTCTGGTCCTATCCGGAACACTGTTTTTTACGCGGTCCACTGTCAACCGTTCCCTTCCGCTTTTCTTGATTGAGAACCGTCTTCTTGTGGCACCCACATCGAAAGCAAACATTGCCCTGCTCAAGCCCACCCAGCGTGTTTGGTGAGTGACTGTCTCGTTCGATACATATTATAAGACTTCACGATTTTCGTGTTGTCATGTTATTTCGGTTTTCCGAGTCCCTCTTCCGGTTCGTGCTGTTGGACTACCTGTTGACATTTTCTGTTTTTTTCCACTATCTTTCGACCGTAATTAGGACAAGTCGACTGTCGACTGAAGTGTGTGAGCTTATTTCTTCCAACCCCACCATATTCTTCCAGCGGTTGGGTTGGAGAAAGTATTTACTGCTCCGCAGTCTGAAGTTTACTGTCACCTTTTCGTATATCTGTAGGTGGTGTTTTAAGATTAGATAGAAGCAGTGGATTGAATATGACCGCCTACTGAATGTCCAACACTCTGTGGAATTAGTTTCGTGTAAAAAATCAGTTAAGCAGTAAAATCACAGTCTCTCTCTCGCGCGCGATGCAAGTTGTCCACCAGAATCAGACATATGGATTTGGAGCAAACCTGGTTGCAGCGTAAACAAGCAATAATAATTGTTTAGTTTTTTCAAACTGCTTGAAACCCCTGAACTTTCGGTCACTTATAAAGGACTACGTTCGTTCCGGCGATTAGGGAACCTCGGAAATCAGCTCTATCACAGAACTCTTCTACTAATCACTGTCAATCACTTGCGCAGACGATTCCTCTCAGTTTCGGATACATTAGTTTGTCGTTATTGTGCAAAAACCGAATCAACCCTATCATCAAAATAAAAACAGCTGAATAAGATCATCGTTTCAGTTCCGCGCATAACTCACGCGGGACTTGTTTTTTTAACAGGATAAAGCCTAGATAGAACGCTATGGAAAATTCATGCTAGGCGATCGGACCAGGCGGCGGTGGTGGTGGAACGGATACGATGGTTTGATGAATCTTGATCTAGTGGATAATTGAGAACGTTAACAAGTTGAAAAACACGCGTTTCTCAAGGATCACACAACGACATACTAGAAGTTTCCACAGGAATAAGTAAAACAAGACTAATGACTATGGAACCGCTGTGAATTACGCTGAATGTTGTTCTAAGTCAGTCGGAGAAAATCAATGAGCACAGTGAAAAACATCAGAAAAAATATATTCGATCCTCAATTCAATCTAGCAATCAGAATCTTAAAGGACACTCAAAGTAATTTGGCAACATAAGTTTGCACTTGAAAACGCCGCTTTGGTTTTCTGTCGAAGATGACCCCAAAGGGAATTGGTTGAGTTCGCTCAAGTTAGAGGGAAGGGTACATTCTCCTATTGGTTTTATTGTTCCGATGAGCGATTCATTTATCAATGATTAAGTGGAGACTGGAGTTGTCGAAATTTCAGACTATTTGACGGGAAATTTACTTTGTCAGCAGGATGGGATACGAATTGCTATAGCAGCCGCAAGTCTACGGAATATTCGAAGATTGTAGTCAGTTGGATACNGTTGGATACTGGTTTGGTTAGGCATAGAATTTCAATTTGAGTTTGAACAACTCCACTTACCGTGCTTGTTGATGGACGCCAAGAAAGATCATAGTAGGCAATTCTTGTCGCAGCTGTTTCTGTCTGCTGACTTTGGCTGTCCTTGATCGGAGGTTTCCAACGTACCTCCAACTCGGTCGAACTAATCGCCTCCACGGTCAATTCCGTTGGAGCTGCTGGAACTGAAAAGAACAAAAAGATGAAAGTGAATCACTGTTGAGTGTTGGGAAACATACAGA